GACTTGTCTGATCATTCGATATACTCTGGAGGAATGTGTTTTTGTATTCATTTAGATGCCTATTAATGATTAGATCTCTATACTGAGATGGATCCTATTCCTAGCAATTGAATTATGAAATTTTCAGTGCTAAGTTTTTTGGAAAGTATATGGAGTTAGATCCATACATACACAGAAAATGGAGATGATGCATTGACATTGTATTTTACCCCTTTCTGATGATGTAGAACCGGCTTAATGGAGACTCCTCGTAGTAAACCGTCGCCGCCAACACCGAGAGTGAGTAAACCAACAGGGACCAAATCCGATGGCAATTCGCCATCCCCGGTGCACAGCACTCGTCTTTCACTTGACCGTTCCCCACAAAGTGTTAACTCCAAGCCTTCTCCCGATCGCCGGACTGCAAGGGTTCCTACTCCCCCTGAGGCAAATAAAACCATACTCAACTTGAAGCTCCTCTTGTTTTGATTTTTTGCTGTTTATTGATCATCATGTTTTTTTTATTAATGGCATTTTCAGAAATTGCAATCACGTTTAGGGAAGGGATCTGAGCTCCAGGCTCAACTGAATCAAATTCAAGAGGATCTGAGGAAAGCTAATGAAGAGATAGCTGCTCTGAAGAAAGATAAAGCGAAGGCTCATGATGATCTCAAAGAATCTGAGAAATTGACAAAGGACGCCAATGAGAAACTTAGAGAGGCATTGGTAGCTCAGCAGCGTGCCGAGGAGAGTTCCGAGATTGAGAAATTCCGAGCAGTTGAACTAGAACAGGCGGGAATTGAAGCGGTTGACATAAAGGAAAGCTCATGGAAGAAAGAGGTTGAGTCAATTAGAAGCCAGCATGCTTTGGACATCTCAGCTCTTCTCTCCACCACGGAAGAGCTCCACAGGATTAAACAAGAATTGGCTATGACTGCTGATGCTAAAAACAAGGCGCTCAGTCATGCTGAGGAAGCCACCAAGATTGCTGAAATTCAGGCTGAGAAGGCAGAGATTCTTTCTTCTGAGTTAAGCCGCTTAAAGGCATTGCTTGGTTCAGTGGAACAAAAGAAAGCTATGGAAGGCGACGAGGTGGTGTCTAAACTGAAATCTGAAATTGGGATGCTGAGAGGGAAACTTGAGAAAGTTAGCATCCTCGAGAATACGCTGAAGGATCGAGAAGAGTCCATCGAACAGCTCAACGTTGACCTCGAAGCTGCTAGAATGGTTGAATCCTATGCTAATAGCTTAGAAGCAGAGTGGAAGAACGAGGCTGCTAAACTTAGAAAACAAGTTGAGGAATCAAATCAGTTGAAGGAATCTGCTTCAGAATCTTTAGATTTAGCTATGAAGCAGCTGGAGGAAAAGAGTCATGCCCTTCACGAGACAGAGTTGGATAATGCTCAGCTAAAAGAAAAGGTTGAGTCGCTGGTGGCAACAGTTGGAAGGCAGGAAAAAGATCTTGAGGAATCCCAACGCCAGGTTGGCATTTTGAAAGAAGAAACTTGTAAGATTGAAAAGCTTGTTGAGTCAATAAAATCTGACCTTGAAACCGCCCAAGACGAAAAGGTTAGGGCTTTGGACAATGAAAAGACTGCAACATCACAGATTCAGAACCTATTGAACGAAAAGACAGAACTTGCGACAGAGTTGGACAACTGTAAGAGGGAAAAAGAGAAAAGCAAGAAAGCTACGGAAAGCTTAACTTTGGATTTGCAGGAAGTATCTACTGAAGCAAGGGAAGCTAAGGAGAAGCTCTTGACATGTCAAGCGGAGCTTGAACACTGTGGAACCCAGATTGAAAGTTTGAAGTTGGCTGCGAAAGAGACAAATGACAAGTACGGGAAAATGCTTGAAGATGCAAGAAACGAGATTGGTAGCCTGACAAGTAGCCTAGAAAACACTCAGAATGAGATTATCAATTCAAAGACTGAGTGGGAACAGCAAGAACTTCATTTGATGGGTTGTGTGAAGAAATCGGAAGATGAAAAGTTCTCTGTGCAGAAAGAACTTAGCAAGGTGGAGAATTTGCTTAATCTTAAGGAAATTGAGGCCCATGCAGCAAAAGAAGAAGAAGCCATTCTGAAAAACAATCTTAAGAAACTTGAGGAGGAGATTAAGGATCTGCAGGAAAGAGTTGGAGAAGCGAAAGCTGAAATCATGAAACTTAAAGAAAGCTTATTGGAGAAAGAAGACGAGCTAAAGAACGTTGTTGCAGAAAACAAAAAACTCAGAGAAATAGAGGTTTCATCTCTCGAAAAAATAGATGAGTTGTCAAAGGTGAATGAAAGCTTGGTGGATAATGAAACAAAACTGCACAGCATTATCCAAGAAGTCAGAGGGAGGGAGATTGATTATCTCAAGAAGATTGAAGAGTTGTCAGCGGCGAATCAGAGCTTGGTTGACAAAGAAACCAAACTGTTGAGCGTTGTCCAAGAAGCTGAGGAGCTTAGAGGAAGGGAGCTTGCTTGTCTGAAGAAGATTGAAGAGTTGTCAGCGGTGAATGAGAGATTGGTTGATATAGAAACCAAACTGCAAAGCAGTATTCAAGAAAGTGAAGTGCTCAAAGAAAGGGAGATTGTATATGTCAAAAAGATTGAGGAGTTGTCATTGTCAAATGAAAAACTAGTTGAGAAAGAAACCAAATTGGAGACCGTCGTTGGGGAAAATGCAGAGTTAAGAGAAAAGGAGTCATCTTATCATAAGAAGATTGAAGAGTTGTCAAAGGTTAACGACCTCTTTGCTGATACAGAAACCAAACTCCAGAGTTCTACTCAAGAAAATGAAGAGCTTAGAGAAAGGGAGGCTGCCTATCTTAAGAAAATTGAAGAGTTAGCGAAGATGCAAGAAAGTTTTCTTGATAAAGAAAATGAGCTCCATGGTATGGTCCTTGAGATTGAGGAGCTTAAAGCCAGTGATTCTCTAGCCCAAAAGGAGATTGAAGAGCTTAAAGCCAAGGACTCTCTAGCCCAAAAGAAGATTGAAGAGCTATTAAATCTAAATAAAAGCTTACTCGTGAAAGAGAGTGAGTTACAGCATCTTGTTAGTGAAAATGAGGAGCTCAAATCCAAAGAGGCTTTATCACTCGAGAAAACAGAGGAATGGGATGATCTTAAACAAAGTTTGGTTGATAAAGAAAATGAGCTGAAGACCGCAGTTGTCGAAAACGAGAAGCTCAAGGCGAAAGCTGCCTCATCACTTGAGAAGATTGGAGAATTGACGAAACTTAAACAGAGTTTACTTGACAAAGAGAACGATTTGCAGGGTGTTTTACATGAGAACGAGGAGCTTAAGGCCAAGGAGGCATCATCTTTGAAGAAGATTGATGAGTTGTTACATCTCGAGCAAAGTTGGCTTGATAAGGGAAATGAATTTCAAAGAGTTAATCAAGAAAATCAAGAGCTCAAGGAGCGGGAAGCTTCAGCGGCAAAGAAGATAGAGGAGTTGTCGAAGATGAAAGAGAGTCTACTTGACAAAGAAACCGAGCTGAAGGCCGGGGAGGCTTCCGCGCTTAAGAAGATCGAAGAGTTGTCAACGTTGCTAGACAAAGCTTCTTCCACACAAGAGAAACCAGAAAACGGCAAGCTTGGTGACATCGAAAAAGACTATGTAGAATTTTCACAAGAACATGGTCTCAGGTGCAGCAGAGAAGAGATGACTAGAACCGATCTTTCCCATAACAGAAGTGGGGAACACACTGTACAAGAAAGTCCAGTGGAAGCCATTGAGAAACATTTGAAAGAAGACACATCAATCCATTGGTCAGCTCACAGAGTTGAAGGGGTTGGAAAAAGAGACAAAGATCAAGGCCCCATGGAAGGCGAGTTGAGGACGTGGGAAGGCTACCATAGAGAAAAGAGAGAAGCTTCTTCAGAGAGAGAGACAGATCATGAGTATGCTGAAGAGGATGATGAATCGAAAGCAGAAGGCAGTGAAAACTTTGATCAGTTAAGCAATGGCTTGTCCTCCGCAGAACACACCGAAGATGCTGCAAGTCTGCTCTCAAAGGAACAACATCAGAAAAAGAAGAAACCTTTGCTCCGAAAGTTTGGAAATTTGCTGAAAAAGAAGAGTACAAGCAGCAGCAGCCAGAAATAAAAGAAATCTCTATTGTAACTGAACATTCCTTGGTTGATTATCCTCAAATCATTAAGAATGTAGCTCCAAATTCAATTTAAGGTGTTTGATCTCTGCTTTCTCAACATCTCATTAGATTGTGTCTTTGTTTCTTCTCTGTTTCTTTTCTTCTAATCGACTAGTCTTGGTGGATTCATTTGCAAAGAGGCATCGGTTTATTGTCAATTTGGAAATGAGAGAGCGGTTGTTTCCGGTTAGACACCTCTGATTGCAGGAGAGTATCATTTGAGCTGTTTTGGGTTGCTGCTCTTGTTTATCAGTACATTGCATGGATCAAGGAACTTTTAGGGAGTGCACAGGTTAATGTCGGTAGATTCCGACGGCACATGAATCTTTTCCATGTGGAAGTTACAAATGATGGCAAACATTTGTATCATGACAAATCACTTGTAGGAATCGATTCCACGTAAATTAATTTTGAAATAATAATTATGTTTTACAACAAAAAAATTCCGAACGTGTACGGATTGTATTGTATGTTCTTTCCATG